GTTCCGTCACATTATAATAGAAATTCAATAAATATAACTCTAAATACTTCTAAATCTAATTATTCAAGAATTGGTTTAAAACTTCCAATATTCTATTCCTCTATAATTTAAATAACTTCAAAACTTTGTTATTTAGTAAGTCAATTTGAATAATTCAAATTTAATATTTAGTAAATGAGATTAAATTGTTTGATATTTAAATTAAAATCAATAAAAAGAATTAAACGTTTACAAGTATATAAATGATTAAAGATTAGTAATAATAAGACTACGATAATGAGATCTAATAGTATATGAGGTATAGATTTCATAACAAGGGAAGGGAAGGAGGAGAGGAAAAGAGCCCGGAAGGCTTAGAGGAAGAGACGGGGTAGTCTGGGAGGCCGTCCGGAGGAGGATAAAAGGGCCCGGAAGGTTTAGAGAAAGGGAAGAGATGGCCTGGGGGTGGTCTGGGACGCCGTTCGGAGGAAGGGAAGGGAGAGGCTAGTCTAGAAGGCCGCCTGGAGGAAAGGAGGGGGTGACCATCCATATCGGAGAACTACCTAGTATATCATGCAAGGAATTCCAAGCAGTAATTCCTTATTTATCATTCGTGGCATTAGTTACAGATAGATCAAATCGATTATGAATTTACTATTACTACCATCAATCCCTGGGAATTCCTTATATAACCTTGAAAAGACTTGACCCCGCCCGCCAATTGAATTTTTGGAATAGTCATCAAATGCCAAGAGATATTAACTAAATCTGGGTTTCGCTTACTAAGTTCTTTTTCGCCCAAGCTTCTGATAAAGTGTTCACTTACTTAAAGATCAAGAAGATCTGAACAATTCCAACGTCGTTGCACATACAATTTAGAAGAAAGAAGCTGATTTATTTACAGAGCCCATTCAACCAAGAATAGCTCTGCATTTTGTTGACTTTTACTTACCTCTCTACATTGTTTCTGCATCGCCCCTTATGCCAGTCTTCTGAACTTTGGAGCTCATTCTCCCATTATTCATCTCTGTGGTCTTCTTACTTGTCCTCATCTTACCGGTACAATTAATCTGCGTTCACCCTGTTTCCAATCAATCAGCAATTCCCTACGTCAGTTATTCCATTCTTCATTCACTCAATGTCAAAGTGAGGAGTAAGCTATTTATTATATCATGTACTGACGCAATAGACTTATCATAGATTTACTAGCTGATTTCAACCCATATACTCTTCCATATTCTACAACTCTTACATCAAAACCATTACAACTATGTCTGCTGTCGATACTGCTGTGCCAAATGGCCACTTTGAAGCCAATGGCGCTGGTCCTGGTCCTGAATTAAGTCAGGCACAGAAGCTCATGCAAAAACACGACCAAGATCATCAGCCCACCATTGAGGAGATCCCTGATGAAGAAGACTTGAAGCATGATGAACAACCTACCTCTACTAGTGTCCTCGAGGATGTCAATGGCGATTCCACTGCTCCAGGATGGGTTCCCCCTATGTCTACAAAAGGTGCAGGAAAACAAAAGGAAGATGTCCGCAAGGAATCTTCAATCAATACACAGTCCCATGAGTTATTTCCAGCCCTCGGAGCCACTTCTCAATCTAAGCATCAAGCTCAAGGTATTTGGGGCGGCGGGAAAGCACTAGCCACTGCCAATGGAACCTCTACTAATGGCAAATCTCAATCTTCTACCCCTAACTCGGGCGCCGCAACCCCATTGTCCACTGTCAGTCGACCAAAGGTCACCCAACCGGGCCAACAACCCCAGGAGAGAATCGAATTGGCTCGAGATCAAATTCTCAAACGGGGAGAGTTGAAGAAACCCTTACCTGAAATTCTAAGAGAGATCAACAAGAAATATAGGTCTAACATTTCTCAATCAACTGGTATGGAAGGGAAGATGACCTTCACAGCTTATGGCCCTCCCGCAGCTGCTCGTGCTGGTATCAAAGCTTTGATGGAACAGATTGGCGCAAAGGTAAGCTAAATGTTACTTCTTCTCTGTTCGTCCTAACACTCTCATTAGCAAGAAATTCGTGTGTCCATCCCTAGCAAAGCACGAGCCTTCATCATCGGAAAACAAGGTTCAAAGATCAAGGAATTGCAAGAAGCTACTGGTGCTAGAATTCAAATTCCCAAGGACGATAAGCCCAGCCCTACCGACGATAATGAAGATGCTACAGTCGATGTCAAGGTCGAAGGTAATGCTGTCGCGGTTGCAGAAGCTAGGAAGGCAATTGAGAAAATTGTGGGAGACAAAGTCGGTACGACTAAGACAAAGTTGCGTGGCATCCCCTCGGAATTTTACACCTTCCTTGCTGGTCCTCACAACGCCCATGCCGATTCCTTGAGGCAGACTCACAATTTGTCCGAATTGAACATTCCGTCTGATTGCACATTGCCAACCACTCCCCGCGACACTGAAGGTCCACTTTTCATTCCAGCAGCTGCTAACAACTGCATCACTCTCAATGGTGAACGTACTGCCGTCTTAGCAGCACGTGCGGAAATTGAGCGTCGGGCCAAGCTGTTGCACGAAGAGCTGACTCGTCAACAATTGCAAGGAATAAACAAGGGTCGTCATCAATTTATTCTTGGTGACCAAGGTAATCCAGGACAAGATTTTTTCGCCAAAACTGGATGTGCCATATTTTTGCCGAGTGAAGCTGATGAAGATGATACTATCACAATCGTTGGGCCTTCAGAGAAAATCAAGGATGCAGTGCGGGAAGCCAGAAAGCAAGCCATGGCTACGCAGACTGTCAACATTGACATTCATAAACAACTCAAAAAGTCACCGGGAAACACCAGTCAACATGCACAGAATATCGCACGATACTTACGCCAGCGAAGAGAAATACAAAAACTCGAGAAGCTTCACGGTGCTCGTATTTTCACCCCAACGCAAGCTGATGTTACCTCACCATGGGAGGTCTACTCTCGGGACCAGGATAGTCTGTTCGATGTGCAGGAGCAGCTGATTGGCATGATTGATGCTCACCCTCTCTCACGTATGACAAACATATCAGTGGATAACTTCTATCATCAGCACCTTCGAAACGACATTTCTCCAAGAGTCAAGAAAGATTATGGCGTTCATGTGGTACTGCCAGATGGTCCTGACGGTGATGTACTCCTTGTTTTTGAAGGACTTGCCGGTAGAGAACCGGAGTACAGTGTACCCCGTAGCCAGCCTTCAAGAGATGATATTGCAGAATTCCAACGTGGTTTAGAAGATGCTCGCAAACACATTCTTGAAATAATTGGTTCTCAGCCCGAGGTCATCAGTGAATCGATTGATGTGCCAAAATTGTAAGTTTTTTGCAATACTATTCCGTTGTCCTAATGCTGATACTCATTCATAGGTACCACGATAAGCTCAAGAGATTCATCACAAAGGAGAACAAGGCTTCTCAGATTCCTGCTCGTGTTACTGCCAATGGCACGGTCGTCACACTCCATGGACCTAAACCTACTGTGGAGAATTTGGCTATCAAGGTTAGAGACTTCGTTGACAATGCAAAAGAGGAGGAGAAAGAACGCGGTTACACGCTTTCTTTTGATTTCCCCCAAAAGCATGCGAACCAACTCATTGGTAAGGGGGGTTCATTCGTTAACGAGTTGCGTGAAAAATTTGATGTCGATATTCAACTTCAGGATGGTCAAGTCGAAGTGAAGGGACCCAAGGCCAAGGCAGATGCTGCCAAATCTCACATCTCGTCTCTTGGCAGGCAATGGGCTGACGAAACCACTTACACTTTGAAGATTGATCCCAAGTTCCACCCCGAACTCATTGGTGCCAAGGGTACCCAAATCAACAGATTGCAAGTTCGTTACAAGGTCCAAATCCACTTCCCTCGCTCGAATAGACCTACAGATGAAGAAGCTACAGGAAGCGACGCTGGTCAACAAAACGCTCGACGTCAACAAGCTCCCGATGAAGTCTCCATAAAGGGACACAAGAAGGGAGCTGATGAAGCAAGAGACGAAATACTTTCCTTGGTTCAATATTTTGAAGATAATTCCCATAACGCTACTGTCCTTGTTCAGCAGAGCCAGGTTCCTTCCCTTATCGGTCAACGCGGAGCTGGGATGGAAGAACTGAGGCAATTGACTGGAGCTAAGATCGATGTTCCAAACTCTCGTGACAGCGCTGATGCATCGGGACGAGTTGAAATCCACATCAAGGGCACGGCATCTCAAGTCGCCAAGGCAAAGAAACTCATTGAGGAAAAGAAGAGTGTCTTTGATTCGACAGTAACGGAGACTTTGAATGTCGAAAAGAAGCACCACAGAGCTTTGATTGGTGCTGGAGGTTCAAACATTCATGCCATTATTGTTAATGCTGGTGGATCTGGTGACCGTCGGGAGCTCGCTCGAGTTGTGCAATTCCCCAAGGCCGAGTCTGACGGCAATGCTATCAAGATTGAAGGTGACCGAACCCTCGTTGATAATATTGTTGCTGCCATTCAAAAGATTATTGAGGAGCGGGACAGCCAAACCACAGAAACTTTGGATGTTCCAACAGATAAGCACCGTCCTTTGATCGGCGCTGGTGGAGAGACTAAGAAGGGTATGGAGAAGAACTTCAAGGTCTCAATTGATATCCCTAGACAGGGCAGTGGTCAAACCGGGATCACCGTCACCGGTCTTCCTGCTGATGTTGAGAAAGCAAAGGCTCACATTCTTGAACTCGTCAAAGGTCAAGAAGGTGAAACTGTCCAAGTTCCTCGTAAGCTTCACAACGATATCTCAAACAATGGTCAATTCTTCAGAAAATTGCGAAATGATCTTCAAGTCACAGTCGATCATGCAGGAGCTAAAATGCCAGCAAGAGCCACGCCACCTTCCGGTGGCAGTGCTAAGGATGCTCTGATCACTGATGAAAAGGACACATCTGATGAAATTGAGGAATGGTTTGTCTTCAACAAATCTGATTCTGGAGAGACTGGTGACATTCCTTGGGTATTGCGTGGCTCCACCGACAATATTGCGCAAGCCAAGTCTATCCTGGCTCAGGCCATTGAACAAGCATCGAAGAACAACTTTGTGGGTCACCTTACCCTCGTTGATCCCAGCTTGTATGGATCAATTGTTGGTAAGAACGGTAGCAAGGTCAACAGCATTCGAAAGGCCACAGGTTGTAACGTTACTGTTCCTCGTGGACAAGGAACTGATCCAATTGAGGTTGTAGGTAGTGAGGAGGGCATTGAACAAGCCAAGGAGTTGATTCTTCAAGCTGTTGCTGAGGGAAAGAATAAGCCTGCTCGTGGAGGCGATAGGTATTAATGACATAGTGTGGGGTGATGTGGGATGATGAAGATAAATGATGGATGGATACAGCTGATACTTTATTGCGGGGATACATAAGCGAGACGGCATTTGTCATATTGCATGCAGAGCTTACCATTTCTTCCTGGGCCTTCTCTGAATACATTTGGGATCGCGATTCGGGTTGATGGGCTAGCTAGCTTGGGCATACATGGAGTTCATACCATAAAAAGCATTTGGTGGGATAATTACTGGACTTAGTTTTTACTTTAATGCATCTCTTTTAACTAAATAGTATTGTGGTTTACTGTTCTTGTGTGTATGTGGTTATGTGTGATTATATGATAATGTGGGTATGAGAAGAGAGAGGGGGGGAGGGAGGAGTGTGTGTGTGTTTCTGTGTAAAAATGAGATATCTCCAAACGTTAACATACATTATATATAAATTACTCTATTTGATTGATGATTTTCTTGGAATAGAAATAAGGAACGGACGTGAGACGGAGATGGAGATGGAGACAAACATGGAGACAGAGACTGAGATGGAGATAGGAATAGGAGAGAATAGAATATAATAGGCTTCATGGAGGGAGTTGGGTGATATCTCTTAGGTTCAATAATATGGTCATATTATATGAAATAGGAGTGGAATATTGAAATGAAAAGTATGAATGATATGGGTGGGTGGATGTTATGATGGATAAATGATATGGTCATCTTATATGATGTGAACGATATTTGTGGGTGTTGTGATGGATGGGATGGATGGATGGATGTGATGAGTGTGATGAGTTGTGAGGTGTCGTCTGTGAGATGATGTGTAGAGAGAGGTATTTAAGTTTGTAGGTGGATGGATGAGTGGATGAGTGGATGGATGGTTGGATGGTTGGATGGAATGAAAGGTAGCGTGGAAGGTAGGGGGTAGTGATTGAGGAGTAGAGGGTGAGGAACGAGGAGTCAGGAGTTGAGGAGTGAGGAGTAAAAAGTAGCGAGCAGAGCCTGTGGAGAGTATGAGTAATAAAGTACAAAGTAGAGGACACAGAGTAGATATCAATGATTATACCATATCATATCTTATCACATCTCAATATATCACAAAAGCCTTATTATATTGTAGTGAGTGGTATTAATTACATAATGGGAAGGGGAAGGGAGGAGAAAAAGAGGAGGAGGGAGAGAGGAAGGAAAATACAGCAAAGTCCTAGAGAAGGAGAAAAGTACTACTCATAGATATACTCTCGAGTATATATAAACAGAAGAGAGACACATAGAGAGGAACTCAATGTACTCGAGTAAGCATAAAAAAAAAAGAAAAAAAAATATATATATATAAAAAAAAATAAAAAAAAATAAAATAAAATAAAATAAGATAAGATAAGATAAGATAAAATACAGAAGTAAATCAAATAATGATAATGATATTCCTCGAGTATAAGTAACAATACTAGTACTATACTAGAGTCCTCGTATATTCATTCATACAACTAACATTGAGATACCCATACTCATACGAGTACTCATACTCGAGTATCTTACGTGACTTACTTGCTTACTTGCTTACGGAGTACTACTTGAGTAGCAGTATAATCAAAGACAAATCAAAAATCAAAAGCTAGAGCGGGCATTGGAACTGGTTGGAATTAGATATGGAAATTGGGATGAGAATGGGGATGAGGATACAGGTTTCTTCAAGAGGGATTTGATTGGGCTTGGTATGTTCGATGATTGGAATCATATGATTTATTATTGGTGAGGACTCACTCCTAGTAAAAGGAGTTGAGTGATATCTATCAAAGTACCTAATTGACTGATATGAGACACAAGTCTATGACAATATATCAACATTCACTACGAAAAAGATGTCATTATTGAAAAGAATTATGTGCATTACTTTTCGCATTATTGCTAATGCTATGCTGCACTGAAGCCACATAATCAGCAGCTTCAATGAGTGACCTCTAAATTGATCGAGCCCTATTGCTCATAACCACCTTGCATGTAACCTTTTATATTCATAACGCCCATTACAATGTGGATCACCCAAGCCCAAGCCTGAGTACCAATGTACCACCCAAATACAAATCTTTAGACCATCTGTTGTCCTGATTGGAAAAATTAATTTACAGAGAAGTTGTTTGATATCCTTTTCCACGCCGTGCACCCAAGAAAAATCCTTATCGATTTTGGAAAAAAATGAAATCTTTATACAAGGAGATTCAGAAATCATTGCGCCCATTCTCGAGGTCCATCAGACGATTGAATTTTGGGAAGTACCAAAAGAAGAAATATCCAGACGTCGATGAACTCTCATGAAAATAAGCTCCTCATTATCGATTAGTACAAAGTGTAACCACCGTCGATAATGACATTGGATCCTGTCATAAAGGCGGAAGCGTCGGAAGCGAGGAAAATAGCAAGGCCGTTGAGATCGTCAACAGCGCCGAGACGATTTTGTGGGGTGAGTGACTTCCAGACAACCTTCTGGGCGTCGAGGGCGGGAACATTGTTGAGGGCAGTGTCCATGTATCCTGGAGAGATCATATTGACACGAATGTTATACTTGGCCCATTCAGCGCCGAGAGACTTTCCGAGTTGGACAACACCTGCCTTGGAGGCATTGTAACAGGATTGTTCTTGGGGATAATTGACAACGGAACCAGACATCGAAGCGACGAGGACAATAGATCCGGGTTTGCCGGCGGCCATCATAGCCTTTCCAACGGTTTGGGACATCAAGAACGATCCGGTAAGATTGATGTCGATGAGACGACGGAACATGCCATGATCATAGTTTTCGGCAGGGATGTTGGAACTGAGAATATGGGTTAGTATAAGGCTGTGGCGTCCAGTGATTGAGTTTACTTACTCGGCAATACCTGCAGAATTAATCAAAACATCTGGGGCACCGTATTCCTCAACAACACTGTTGACAGCAGTCTCGATGGCAACAGCATCACGAACATCGACCTTGAAAAAGCCAATGGGAACCTTACGTCCAACCAATTCACGAAGCTCGGCAGCTGATTGATCACCCAAATCTTGGTTGGCATCAAAGATGGCGACAGCCTTAGCTCCAGCCTCAACACAGGCACGTGCCATATTATTACCAAGACCTCTGGCACCACTATTTCAAGTTTGTTAGCCTCTGAACTATCCCCTCTAGTACATGACAATTCCTTAAGCTAAATCAATCTCAAACGACTAGTATGATTAAGACCCTGGTAGCCCGATAACACAAAATTAACCTGAATCTGTTGTTCAAATTCAAGTTTTTGAGAGAAGAACGAACTTGTAGATTGAGAAATGAATGAAAGAGATTGAAAACGTACCCTGTGATAATAACAACCTTGCCCATCAAACTCATTTTCTGCATTGTTGGAGTCATACCCTTGTATGCGCTTTGTGTGAGAGGAGTGACAACGTCGATGACCTTGGTTGCGGCCTTAGCTGGAATATTGACTTCTTTGAGAGGAGAACCTATGATATATGAGAGTCAGTAATTGTAATTGAATACCAGGATTTGAAACATTCACACAAAGTTAGACATTGGGAAACGCAAAATGCGAAATGGGAAATATGAAATGTGGAATGGACCATTGAAACTTACCAAGATGATCAATGCTGGCGTGGACCTCCTTTTCGGCGATAACTTCATAATCCTTGACTTGGGGCGTGGTCATGAAGGCACGAATTGCTTCTCTGGCGATGATTGTTGAAGTTCTACTACCAGCCTTTGCGGCGGCACGAAGAAAAGAAGAAGATCGAATAGCAAACATAATTGTAGTGTTATGTAGATGATTAAAGTGGCTTCTTGAAAGAGATGTATGATGGCAAAGATTACCAAAAGACAGTTTGTTGAATGTGGGATACAATCGTAGTTGGGTGTTGAAGGAAAGTACTTGAGTATTTAAGGAAGGAACTGCTGTGGGAAGTAGGAAAAATCTTAGCGTGGTTCTAATTGTTGAACTAGTAGAGCCGAATGACCCAGACCCTAAGTCCTTTACTCATGATCCATCGGAGAATGATACAATGAGTGAAGAGAGTGAATAGACAGTCCCAAAATTATTCACTCTTTTGTATAAACAAAAAGAAACCTTCAGATGGAGATTCCGACGAACCTTTGAATCAAACCAAGACTTTTTGTATTCGATAAGAAAAGAATTATATACCACTATATATGTATATGGAATCTCAGAAGTCTGCTAACTGGTTAGAAAAATACATTATTATATAAGATGCCTTCTCTCAATCTGCGAATCTGCAAAAACAACTGAGTGATTCCGATCATCTCTTATAGGGGGAAAGTATTATAACTGATAGAAGGAAAGTGAATGAAAAAGGGGAATAATGCTGACTGTGTATGTAGGAATCCAGCTCTTGGTTTTCCCTTCAAAGATTTTCGATGTATAATGAACAGATCTAAAACAAGAGAAACGTCTCAATGATATCGAGTCTGAACGAACAGAAAGCAGTGGTCTATAAGTTGCAGAAGGTTGAAAGTTGGAAAGATCAATATGGAAATAGAGCGGAAATGCTGTCAGACAGAATAAGCAATGCAGAGAGGATTCAATCGATGATGAGAGTCTTCAAAATGGAATAAAAAGATATGAAAGGGAGAAAAGAAGAAAGTGTGGAAGAGTCAAAGACCTTATAAAGCCAAAACTGTTTCTTCCTGTTCTACTTTCAACGTCGCCTCCCTGACCTTTTCTTTCCCTCAAGCTTACACATCAAGGATCTACAGGGTGCTTTCCATCAAGTCTGTGCTGATTTGCATAGTTTGTCCCACATCAAAGGCTATTGAAGTTGTCCGGAACCAGGATTATACTACCGGGATGTTTTGCTAGAACATCAATGCATGCTTCTATGGCTGTGGTGATGGGTGGTTGTCCAGATTGGCATGTCAAGGATAATGACTAGGGTTGTGCAAGAATAGGTTGTGCATGGCAAGCTTGAATCGTGGGGGTCAATGATGGGCTGGAAAGGATGCTTGTCTCCGACTCTCCGATACTTCCAGAACCCACATCAGTACCTGTTTGTACAGAAAGGTGATGAGGCGGTGTGCTGTATACACATATTGTTACAAGGTACATAATTGTCGATTGCTGCAAACTCCATGCAAAAAGATGGGGTTTGATGTGGCGAGAATTTTGACAGTTGGGAAAGTTCAAATGAATCTCAGATAATTCTTTCCTGAAACTGGTATGAGTGTGGGTTAGAAAGCTTGTTAATGGTGATGTGTTGTTATTTCTCTGTTAATTATTGATATCTCATTAGGAATGGAGATTTGGGTTGGGGAAATCAGACTTGGCTGTTCGAGCAAGATCCCCGTCTACATCGCAGGGGTTATTTACCCCCTGCCGGTACCGAGCATTTTGATGAGATGTTTACGAAAAGTATAATGTTTCTGGAAGCAAAATAGAATGATTTAAAGTTTTGAATAAGCAATGACAAGATGGATGTGTGGAGCTTGGCTGGGCAATCTGATGTGAAGGAGTTCAAAGAAGTTCAACGTCAAACACAAATTGACCCTGCCTAGCCTTTTGGATCCATTATACAAATGATACGAATACATTTATATTGTGGAATCAACGTGGATACTCGATAAACTGGAGGCAGTGATGCCATAATAGGTACAAACAATTTCCACCCAGCTGCCATTGAAAGTTTGAAACTTGATATATCCCAAATCCGAGGGATTCCCCATCGATTTCTCCCCATTCTTGAGGATCTTCAACTTGAATCTCAGTCCCCCCCTTTTATTATTTACCCACAGTGACACGTTTTCCGCTTCTTCCAAGCTTTAAATGTTTCTCTGTCGACAAACTCGATTGCGGAGCAAGATGTATGTCATGTCATCTCACAGTATTGGTAGACAGCGAGCGGTGTGAGCAGTGAGCTGGGAATGAGATGTCGATAACTCGCAATAGGTACTGTAATCTGTGGAAGCTTTGGTATGATAATGGTTTGGTACCTTCTGGACAGAAGTTATCTGATGGACCAAGAGTTATGAAAAGGTTATGATTTACGAGAGCTGTTCTCACTATTTCCACTCATGTCCTTAAGTCCTAGAGTAAAAGGCTAGTTGGGTTTCACGATGAGGTTCAGATAATAACAGCAAAGCAGTGATAGCCGTTAGGTATGTACAGTACAATAAGTCATGGCGTTTTTATAATTATGCAGCCATGGATTTCGATTGAAGAAATAGTAAATATTGTAGCCCTACCATACTGCCTCGTGTCATGATCTTCTAGAAGGAAGCTTAATAATTGATGTTTTAGATGAAACTGTTTTATGGAGTATTTTAAATTCTTTTACACTCGTTTACAAGGCAGAAACGTATAAATGACTCGTATTAGTGGCAAAACGGGATTTAGCAAAATCGTAAACCTAAAAATTATTTTCTCTTCATTTTTGTGGAGAGAAATATGAAAAAAGAAAATTTCTTCACTAGTTTTTCTTCTTCTTACACCTTGTTTTCTTTTGTTCTATCATTTCTGTCTTCTGTTTTCATACATCTTATACATCTCATACTTTCATACATTCATTCTCACACTCATACATCAATCACTGTTTATCTCTTCCTCTTATGTCAATTTCGATCTCCCAAAGGCTCCCCGACAACTGGAGAAACCTAATGTTTGATGAGGTGTCCTTTCGAAGCTGCGTGGCTACAGAATTAGCTGAAAGTATAATTACATTAACCCAACGCAGCCCAGTCCGTTTCAGCCCTCGTACTGGAGAATCTACAAGAGAAGAATAGCGATCATGCAACACGCAGCTCTACTGTATGTCCAGTCACGAAATAAACGGTGAAGAATGGACAGCTGGATATTCGAACCGTTTACATGACTCAACAATGGCTATCAATCATACAATTATTGATATGAGAAACAACCATACCTAGGTACGTATGCCAGGCAAGATCAGACGTCGTTCTCCCGACACCAAGATTAAGAGCTCCATCCATCTCGACTGGAGCACGAAGATACCGGATAATGCTCGCCGCCACAATCGGAATCCCGAGTTCACGATTTTACACCGAGCTTACCTCATTTCCAAATGGCGGATTAATGTTTATCCTGCTTACTCCGACGACTCTGTCGACTACAATGTTATCAATATATATTCTTCATTATTCAACACAGATTACGATTTCGATTTTCGTCGCAGCAACGAAGTCGTCAAAATAACATATTTATGTTGGCTCGTTTGGGTTCGAGTGGCAATGGATGGATAATACATGTGGGTTTGATGCAAAACCGTGGAGGCATTCCTGGCGATCCTAAGAAGAGGCAGCATCACCTCAACGATTAGATTGAAGTTTTTCGGCCCAATAAATTACGAGGATTAATGAGAGGTATTTGTTGAGAACGATTCACGATCCACCTTTTTATTTCCTTTGCATGTTATTTGTTCTCTGGTTTCTTTTTCTGGTGATGGAATAAAGGGCAAGGACCCGACTTCCACATCCACGTTCGAGTGCTAGTGAATGCACACTCTTCCCCCATGGGGAGATAGGTGGAGAAAGATCAGGAAGGGTTTCAATATCTCAAAGGCTTAAATGATGAATATCCAGATAGGGACAGCTTATGTTAAGTTCCAAAAAGGAACTTAATGTGTGATGTGAACTGGACGAATATTTTAGTAGATGCTTCGTGTTTTCTGAAAGCCTTTGAGATGAGAATTATTTTTGGGGAGGAATGTTTGGTGATGGTGTGATGGCACTGATGAGATGTTGGTGGATTGTCGTGATATGATGAATCTGTTTGTTCCCTACGCAGAATTCTCATGCTGGACAATCATCATGTTTCATCTCTTGTGTCGGCGGTTCTACATTTTCTGGGTGGAAAATAATCAATGGTGGAGATTATGAATACTGCTATATAGATTTATACATACTTTTCAGTATCTACATCCGATACAAATACAATTCTATCATCCATATACTGTACAACATCCTTTCAATACTGTGTTGTGACATTAAACACAACATACATACCTATATACCATCCGATACCTCAAACTCAGTCTCGAGAATCGCCATGTGACATCACCACTCCTCCCTCACTACACTGAGTAAGTATCCGCCAAATCATCGCCATCACCGTCACAACATTATCATTACTACATTATCCATCGCATCGCTCCATAACCCATGATCCATGCATGATACATCCATAAATCACACTCGTTCGTAATATATGTATGTATGTATGTATGTATGTATGTATATCCCCGCTTGACCATATTGACTGTGTCGAATGCGGCTTTCATTGTACGAATCAGTGAAGTCTGTGCTTGTTGGATTGCTTCACCATGTTCGTTACTTTTCTTTTTCTTCACTGCTGTTTG